TGTAGAATTCAACGCAAAATTTGTTGGCCTAGATCTAGGCTATAACGGTGAACGTGCACCGGGTGAGAATAGCCAAAAGACTCGCCTGCACTATTCTCACCCCGGGTGAGAATAGAGGTGGCCATACATGATAGAGACACTTCCATCTTTTGTGCCATGCGGTTGGCTATATATATTTCAGATGTAGTTACGTGATCAGAGGGGTATCCTGGTCTGAATTCAAACAAGATGGGCGCCACACCTAAAAATAGTTTGCATCCTTCTACGTTTAATCGCACACACATGAATACAGCTGGCCTTTTGAGAAATACTGAAAGTTTCAAAGTCAAAGAGATCTTCGACTTAGAATCATACTTGAATCTACATTCTACAATCTCTAGATCTAGATCTAGAGTCTAGATCTAGATTCTAGAAGTATTCTAAAACGTGAAGAATACAACCTCGGGGGTACAAAATGATCCCAGGGTGTACGGATAGACAAACTTTAAATAAGCATGATATTAAACAAGGAAGTTAAAAATTATTAGTCTACCTGAAGTGAAACTAAAAAGGACCTGCTGTAAGCATGACCTCGATCAACAGGCAAACAATGTTTCACAAGCTAAGTCAGCGTCGTCAGGCCTCTTTCACTTTGTCACAATTCTGTTTTAGGCTAGGCCTATCCGTTGTGCCCCCTGGCTGGAAGTGGAGCCTTCTGATTCTGACTGCTGATGAAAACAAAACAATCACAAAGAGCAGAGCAGACAACGTTATCAGCACACTAATACTTGGCCAGGTTTTCCATCTCCAGCTGTGGCCTTCGGACACGGCAAAACAGCTATTACTGTAACTGCCACATTGGCTTATGGGGACGGATGATAGGCTAGTTTCCTTCTTCAAATAATTTTTATTAATTAATATTAGGCCTACGACTGATCTGAAACAGATACTACAGACCATGGTTTGCAACGCACATCTCTACTCAGATGCCCATTTTTAAAAAAAATTAATTATCTTTATTATATAAGTCTTTTCCCATTACTCTTCCCTTCATGTAGGCTAGATCTAAGTTTAGAAACACGCTGCCAAGAGACGCAGCACCATTGAAATTGCTGCGAAGCAGGCCTGTGATGTATAATAATTTCTCAAATTGTTGACAGTTTCTTGAAGCAAAATAAATTCAATGCACTAGATCTATCAATCTTCGACTTTTCCAAATTCCAGGACTAGCAAAAGTCGTTTCCTACAGAACATTATATCAGTGGACATATGAGAGAGCAACT